TTGTGGTGGTCTGACATGTGCACCTCGGTGTGATTTGGGCCAGCATTGCACTCATAACGCTGATTGTAGTAATGGCAACTGTCATCAAACAAATAAAACTTGTCAAGGTATATTTATTAGGAAGTGTTCAGAAATAATTATTCCAGGGCTTTCATTAGTTTTATCTGAGAACAAAATAATGTTTATCATTCTAGTTCCATCTTGCGACGACGGAAATAAAAATCAAGATGAAATGGGTATTGATTGTGGCGGGTCAATATGTGCAGCTCGATGTAATTTAAATGAAGTTTGCTCAAACAACTCTGATTGCTCAAGTAGAAATTGCTATACCTTATTTAAAATATGTCAAGGTGAGCGAATATCCTCTTCATATCTTTCTAGGAATCTGAATACTTTATTTCCACTATTCAAATTTGTTATATTGTAGCTCAATCGTGTTGTGACGGAAATCGAAATCAAGATGAAACTGATGTGGACTGCGGCGGTTCGATCTGTGGCGCTCGATGTGGTTTAAATCAAGTTTGTTCCAGAAATTCTGATTGTTCCAATAAGAATTGCCATCAAACAAATAAAATCTGCCAAGGTATACGAAGAGCTTACATTAAGAAAGCTTAACGTAGGGATATTCCGTAGACAGCGAAAACTGTGTTTTCCTATGATCCATAATAAAATGTTTTCAAATACTTAATTTTAGCACCTTCCTGTTCGGATGGAAATGAAAATCAAGACGAAAGTGGTGTTGATTGTGGTGGTCTGACATGTACAGCTCGGTGTGATTTGGGCCAGCATTGCACTCATAACGCTGATTGTAGTAATGGCAACTGTCATCAAACAAATAAAACTTGTCAAGGTATATTTATTAGAAAATCTTGAAAATACTTTTAAAGAATTTTAATCATAGTGTCAAGCCTTCCATTAAATTTGAGCAAGACTAAGACTTTTAAGATCTCCCCAAAATAGAGAATATTTGCTGAAAAATCAATTTTACCGTAACTGAATGGAAGTAATAATTAAGTATATCTGCTTTTTAAATTTACGAAAAAAGTATTATTGCCTACTTAAATCGAATTCGTATCGAAATGAACATACAACTGATTTTTGCAACTCGAAAAGAAAAGGAGTAAAACTAGTATACAGTACGACTAGATTTAATCTTGAGATGAGATATGATAGCTCTCATGTAGATTGTCGGATAGATATAGGAGGTGGTAGCAATAGCTTCTTTCTGATCTTACTTAATTATAATTCACAAGCACAGCGCTCACGCAGAGCATAAGAAATAATTCTTTTTTTTTTCACGGGTCTTCATAGAATTTCCTTCTCCCAGCAGCAACCCGAATTTTTAGAAATATACATTCCAAAAAGCTCAATCTTCAAATATGTGATCGCATTTCCTCGTTGTGAATGTTAAGTTTGAGAAAATTTGCAATTCTCCAAAGATCTTCCAAAATACATCCGGGAAACACATCTGTCCAACTCAGTACTTGTATTACTAAGATATATGGAAATCAGAAAAACTGCGTCGTAACTACACTGAACACGGAAAATTTCTAATAGCAGTCCGCTAAAGCAAAGAGCAATGTTTCTTTTTATAGATGAAATGGAAGCTGCAGCTTTTTCAGCTAAGTTCAAGTAATATAGTGTGCGTTCCTCACGAATTCTTGTTCGTTCTGTAGCGAAGTACCAAGGGCAATTCATAAGTAGTTCCTTCTGTACGACTGCAGTACCACTGAGGTACAGTGAAGTATGAATAAAGCTCAGTGAAGCAAGACGTGTTTTAGTACTTCACTCTACTATAAATACCAGGTGGAGTAGATAAAATCCCAATTCCTTCCCCCCCCCCCCCCCCCCCCTCCCCCCACACTCCCCCCCCCCCCCCCCCCCTCTGGTTTCAATAGGAAATCCACTGCACTGCATTTCCGATATGATTTGGAAGTTTAGCGTTTTCCAATGAGTATTTCTTGAGATTCGAGTTCCTGCAGGAGGAAGAACATTGTATGAAGACCTGTAAGAAAAGTAAAAAATACTGTCATTATGTTTTAGTCAACACTGCGGAAGAATAATTATACTTCAATATGACTAAAAAATGTGAATAAATAAAATACTACTTTCCTTCCTCATAATCCCCATTTGTATGTCATAGCTACATATGTCTTCTAAATAATCATTTCTATTTCTACATGAATTAAAGATGTCATCGACTTCTTGCAAAAATAATAATAGCATATCTATAATTCTAGTCCAGTCTTGTAATGACGGAAATCAAAATCAAGACGAATCCGGCGTTGATTGTGGTGGTTTCGTTTGTGGAGCTCGGTGTGATTTGAATCAGGCATGCTCACACAACTCTGATTGCTCGAATGGAAACTGCCATACATCATTGAAGCTATGTCAAGGTGAGCAAATATTGTCTTCATATCTTATTGGGAATATTAACATATTGTAGTATCATCTTGCAATGACGGAAATCGAAATCAAGATGAAACTGATGTGGACTGCGGCGGTTCGATCTGTGGCG